GGCTTAGGAATTCTTGTAGTTTGTAGTCCCTAAGCCTCAGTAAATGCACATCATGGTTTACTGAGGCTTAGGGACATCTGACGCTCTGACTTCCTAAGCCTCAGTAAATACAAAAATCTTTGTATCCACAGGCTCGATTTCTTCCGTTTTAAGCGATTTTTAGCTCAAAATTTCTGAAATTTCTTGCTGAATTTTTTACTAAGATTCTGTTAAAATTCCGAAACTTTAATTTAATTCTAAAACCTACCTGATTCGAGTTCTTAATTTGCGGCATTCCACAATCCGCAACCTCAATCGTTTCGGGTCCACCGAATCTGTGCACCACTGCGGCACGACAAATTCGCTTGCTCATTTTTAAAAAACTTTTTTTAGCTGAAAATCGGAAATTTATGATTTTAACCTAGAAAAATGAAGGTGTCTGACGAAATTTTGCATCTTTTTATACTTTTTCTGCCTAACAATAAGATGACAAATAAAATTGTATGATCTGTGATGCATCATCATCTTTCTCATCAGTTCTCTGATTCTATTGAACCCCCTTCTTGTCCGAGAGGACTACACCGGCCTCGCTTCTCCTGTGTGCAAATGCGCTCCACTGCACTTTTGGAAAATCGAATGAGCGCGCGGAAAGCGGCGACCCGAATCGCTTCTATCGATTTTCTGGCCGGATTTTTTTCTAGTTTTTCGTTTTTATCGGCTTCTCCTTGAATTTCTCTTCCTTTTAAAACCAAAATTCCGGCTATTTTTTCAGCGTTTCCAGCGACACTTGGGCATTTTTACAATGGGTGAGTAGAACTTCCTTTTTTTTGCGATGTTTGGGAGCTTTCTCGCTTGAAATTCTTAGTTTTTAAAAGCAAAAAAATAGTCGGAATCTTTCAGTCGACGTTCCGCGCAACTTCCGTTTGCTGGAGGAGCTCGAGGAGGGCCAAAAGGGCAAAGGCGACGGAAACATCTCGTGGGGACTCGAGGACGATAGCGATATGACTCTCACCAGATGGACCGGCTCGATTATTGGTCCACCACGGGTAAGAAATGAGTTAAATGGGGTTTTTGGCCTAAAAAATCGAAAAAAATTGCCGGATTTCGAAATTCCCCCTTTGCTAAGCTGATGAGTCAGTCATTCAGCCAGAAATTCAGCGATATTTATTGTTTTAAACGGATAATCAGCTCGAAAAAGTGGTTTTCGAGCTGAAATTCTGCTCAAAATGACTATTTTTCTGATAAATCCAAAAAATGGAATTTCGCAATTCTTCCAGACCCCATACGAGTCGCGCATCTACAATCTGCAAATCCAGTGTGGCGCCAACTATCCACGAGAGCCGCCAACCGTCCGTTTCGCCACCAAAGTCCACATGGTCGGCGTCAATCAGAGCAATGGAGTGGTAAGCAGGGGAATATCTCAGTTTTATCAATTTTTTGGGCCAATAAGACGTTCAAAAACAACGTTTTCCGCTGATTTTTCGGCCATTTTGACTATTTTCAAGCTTCCGATCACTTTTGGAGGGTGTAAAACATACCTAGATTCGAAATTTTGCATTTATAGAATTTATTGGAAATTTCTGGTTTTTCCGATTTCTGAACGACGCATGAAAAAAAATGAACCCAGAAATCACAAAAAAAAGGTTTAAAACCATGGAAATGGGCCTCATAATCGTAGAACAAACCCGAAAATTTCAAAAAACGGCCTTAAAATTTTCCACAAATTATAGAAAAATGACCCAGAACTAGTTTAAATAAACCAGGATTCCTGAAATAAGGTCTTAAAATCATGGAAAAATACTCACTTTTCATCTCCACCTGCTTTTGGTTCTTACTGAGGCTTAGGATACATTGATTTAGATTTTTTTTACTGAGGCTTAGGAAATCTTGTAGTTTGTAGTCCCTAAGCCTCAGTAAACGCCCTTTCCGGACTATAATTATCTAGAAAAATTCCAAAAAACGACGTCATACCACCTGCTGTGTCTCCTAGCAACCACCCAAAAGTTTCAAAAATTCCCAAAATTTCTATTCAGATCGAAAAGCGAAATCTGGCGACACTTCGCAATTGGAGCAGCAGCTATCAGATCAAGAACGTGCTCGAGGACATTCGTAAGAACATGATGATGGCCAAGGAGAATCTGAAATTGCAGCAGCCGGCCGAGGGAGCAATGTTCTGAGATGTGCTCTTTCGATTTTTGATTTCTTTGAAAAATTTCATTTATTTTCCATTCATTTGTAAAGTTTTCCTCCTCCTATACCCCTTATACCCCATCCGTCGTAGAAGCTTTCCTTTTCCACCCAGTGTCCCAAGAAAAACCCCATCCAACGCCCCGTTTTTTCCCCTATAAAATATGCTAAAACCCTATATTTATACCATATATAGAGAGTAAATCATTTAAATATGTCTTTTTTTTCAAATTGAAATTCCTTTCATTGCTCAATTTGCGTATATTTCTATCGCTTCTATTTCTCTATCCTTTCTCCATTTTTTCGGAATTTGAATCAATTTTTGCAGAATTCGCCATCAAAAGTTATGTCATATGAGGACTTGAAGCCAGGTAATTCCTTTAAAAAATCCAGAAATTCCTAAAGAAATTCTAAAATCTGAAATTTTCAGAAGACTGAAAATCTAAAAAATTCCTAAGAATTCAGAAGCTTAAACAGATCCAGAAATTCCGAAATTGTAGAATTTCAATATTTCAAAAAATCCAGAATTTCCTAAAAATTCTCAAATCTGAAATTTTCAAAAATCTGAAATTCTAAAAAATTACAAACAATCCGAAAATTCAAAATTTGTAAATTTCAAAAAATTCCAAAATTGTAGAATTTCAAAACTTCAAAAATTCCAAAGCATCCAGTTTCCTTAAAACCTGTAATAGAAGGCCCTTCTATTACAGGGGCCCTTCAATTAGAGGCGCTCTTTCTAATTTTTTTAAAATCAAATTTCATGAAAACCACATATTTAACCGAAAGTCTAAGATCGCCCTTTCATTAGAGGGGTCCTTCTAATACAGGTTTTACGGTATCCTAAAACTGCATTTCCAGTGCGCTTCGACTACATCTACCAACAACCGCAACACCACCACCACCATCAGCCAAACCATCAACCGGCTGCTCCTCCTCCAACCAATTACTACAGTACTCCCTACAGTCATCACCAACAACAAAATGCGACGACGGAACCCTATCAACCGCAGTATCAGATGCTAGAGAGCAATGGGAACGGCATTCATCCCCCACAGATGCACCATCCCCCGCATATGATCCATCAGAACTATCCTCCTCCTCAGCACCATCAAGCTGTTCCGCCGCCAATCCATCAGATGCCTCGATTCCAATACGTAATGGAGGATTCAGACAGCCAGGATTCGTTGGATTCTAGAGGTACCAATCAGAAGTACTCGACACCAGTCTCCACGCCAGCACGCTACTCGGAAGACAACGATTCAGAAGACCTGAGCGAGGAAGTGAGGAATCATTGGATGCCCATGACCTGGTGTGAGAGATCTTCTGATGATCCGCACGTCTTCAACTTTGTGTGTCTCTGGGGACAGTGTTGTAATGTATTCTCCTCGAAAGAGAAGTTCATAGACCACTTGTACGGTCATATTCCAAGTCTGGAGGATACGATACAGACTGGGAGGTTTAGAAACGATGAGAGTGTGAATTGCAAGGTCAGAGGATGTGGAGCCAAGGTGGCGTCGATAGATGACCTGAATCGTCACATCTCGATGCACGTCTTCCAAGCGGATTGTCAGCAGAAGGGCTCCGAAGCGTTGATTGATAAGGAGGAGTATGTGGGGATCGAGAGTTGTGGATTCGAGCCTTGTACCAATTTGAGCTATGAGGGAATGGTGCTGACGTGTCAATGGGAGGATTGTGGAACTATCTTCCATTCGTTGCCAGAGCTGTTTGATCATGTTGCGGCCCATATTGAGGATTGTTGTGATATTGATCGAGTGGAGCAGGATTTTCATAGTAAGTTTTCCAGCTTTTTTAAGCTCAAAATTCCAGATTTCTAGCTCATCTAGCAGCTGAGATATTGTCGTTTGAAGTTTTATATAGTTCAAAAATCCTGAAATTTCCAGGTTTCTAGCTCAAAGTTCTAGCTTTTTAAAGCTCCGAATTTCATGTTTTTCTAGCTCAGAATTCCAAAATTTCTATGCGAAAATTCCAGATTTCTAGCTCTAGATTCCAGCTTTTTCAGCTCTAAATTCCAGCTTTTTTAGCTCTAGATTTCAGCTTTATGGCTCAAAATTTCAGATTTTTAAGCTCGAAATTCCAGGTTTCTAGCTCTAGATTCCAGCTTTTCAAACTCAAAATTCCAGCTTTTTTTTAGCTCAAAATTCCAGCTTTTTAAACTAAAAATTCCAGATTTGTAGCTGAAAAATTCCAGCTTTTTTTTAGCTCAAAATTCCAGATTTCTAGCTCGAAATTTCAGATTTCTAGCTCGAAATTTCAGATTTCTAGTTTAAAGTTTCAGATTTTTTGGCTCAAAATTCCACCTTTTTAAGCTTAAAATTCCAGATTTTTTAGCCCAAAATTCAATTTCTTGCAGATGGCGAAAAACGAAACGCCTGGCCATGCAAATGGACCGGCTGTAACCACATGTCGGACTGCAAATCGAATCTCCGTCGTCACGCCCGTCACCACAGCGGAGAGAAGGTGCTCGCGTGCCCATTCTGCGCCCGATTCTTCTCGCGCCGTGATAAACTCTACGATCATTGTGTCCGTCGGACGATTCTCATGTCCGATCCGGATATTGAGGATCCGTACCTCTGTAAACTGTGTCAGAAGAGATTCGGGACAGAACGAGCTCTGTGTCTTCATGTGACACGTCATCTGGTATCCCACACCTGTCCACTGTGCTCTGTGGCCATGGAATCGAGATCGGCGATTCATCGACATTTGATGACGAAGCATTCGAGGAGATCCAGGGATTTCAAGTGCACCACTTGCAATAAAATGTTCTTCACAGAGGTAGGTTTTGGTTTTCAAATTGAAACATTCAGTTTTGGCTACCAGAAGGCCCTAAATTTCTAAGTTTAGGCAAATTTTAACGTAGTTTTGGTTTGAAAAAGTCCCAGAAATTCTCACATTTCAAATTTTAGCTGAATTTCGGGTTCTAAAAGACACTAAATTTCAAATTTTCGCAGAATTTTTATTCTAGAAGGCCTCAAATTTCAAATTTCAGCAAAATTTTGGGTTCTAGAAGATCCTGAATTCCAAATTTTATAAAAATGTTGATTTAGAAAGATTCTAAATTTCTAGTTTGTGGAAAATTTTGGCTTTTAAAAGACCTCAAATTTTAAATTTTAGCAGAATTTCGGTCTAGAAATATCCTGAATTTCGAATTTTAGCCGAATTTTGGGTCCTAAAAAACTCAAATTTACAAATTTTAGCTGAGTTTCGGGTTCTAAAAGACTCTAAATTCCGAATTTTAGAAAAATCTTTATTTTTAAAAGACCTCAAATTTCAAATTTTAGCTGAATTTAGGGTTTTAAAAGACCCTAAATTCTGAATTTTAACTAAATTTTGTGTTCTAGAAGACACTAAATTTCAAATTTTAGCAAGATTTCGTTTCAGAACGGTCCCAAAAGATGATCAATTTCAAATTTTAGCCAAATTTTTGTTCTTTTGAAGACCCGAATTCTCTAATTTCAGCAAATTTCGGTTTAGAAAAACCCCTAATTTCAAATTTTAACAAATTTTTGGGCTCTAGAAAACCCTAATTTCCTCTCAGAAAAATCCTGAAAATTGCAGAGCGAGCTGAATCGTCACGCCGTCTACCACACGGACGTCATGTACAGCTGTAAGCACTGTCCGGAGAAGTTCAAATGGAAGAAACAGCTTCTGAAGCACATGAAGGAGCATGAGGAGGTAATTAAGAGAATTTTGCTTGATTTTTCTGTTCGTCCTGTCCTCAAAATAGGCTCCGCCCCCATAGGTGGGCGGGGTCCGGCCTGATTTCTGTCTTGGCTTGTCTTTTCCTAGGCTCCGCCCCCTTTCTTGCATTCTGCCTGTACCAAAAAAAAACAACTTTTTGGGCCCTCCAGTTTGAGGAGAATTGCTATTTTTGTTTTGTCCATATCCTCACTGATAACGTATCATTACACTCGTACCGTGGTTGCAAACGCGCTCTAGCGAATTCTGGGATTTCTTGAATTTCTAAAAAAAAATTATCTTTCTGAAATTCTGAATTTTTTGAATTTTTCCAAAGTTTCGCTAGAGCGCACTTGTACACCGGCCGAATCATTCAGAATTTTTGCACGACACTCTATTTTCTCTTTCTTTTTTCAGAAGATCCGCAAAAATAGGAAAGCGCTCGCTAGTTGGAGGGCCTTTTAATTTCTATATGATATGGTACGTCCGCTTTTTACCTTTTCCTTTCCATTCTGTGTGTGATTTCCCGTTTTAGAACTATATTTAGGATTTTCAGACAATTTTCAGCTAGAAAATGAGATTTTTAGATCGAAAATCGTTTTTAGAAATCCAGAAATATCTAATTTTTCAATAAATTGATGACTGAAATCGACTTTAAAGGAATTTAAAACGGTCCATAACAGTCTAAAATTATCTAAAAATGGTCCAAAAATGCACCAAAATAGACTAAAATAGTCCAAAAATGGTCCAAAATGCTCTAAAAACAGTCCAAAATAGTCCGAAAATGGCCTAAAATAGTCTAAAAATGATCTAAAATTATCTAAAAATTGGTTCAAAAATGCTCCAAAAATGGTCTAAAATAGGCCAAAAATGGTTCAAAAATGCTCCAAAAACGTCTAAAATAGTTCAAAAAATGGTCTAAAATTATCTAAGAATAGTCTAAAAAGGTTTTTGAAAAATCCCAAAATAATCATTTTGGAGCATTTTCAGGGGTCTAGAGCTGGGCTAGAACGAATTCTAGATGCTTCTAGATTCCAAAAATTCAATTTTGAGTTTCAAAATTCCTCAAAAAGTAATAGTTCTAGAACGGGCTGAAAAATGAAGATTTTGGCTCCAAATTCGTTGAAATTTGAGATTTTTAAGCCATTTTTCATTTCTAACGCACCTGAAAATCATGAAAAATTGGCTGAAAATCGAACTATGGACATTTTGGAGCATTTTTCAGTTGATTTTAAGCCTTTTTAGGGCTCTGGAGCTCGGCTAGAACGAATACTAAATCCTTCTAGATTCCAAAATACTCAAAAATCGATTTTTGAATAGTTCCAAAACGGGATGGTCTTCTAATCTGCTCCATTCTTTCAGAACTTCAACCCCACGCCCTACATCTGTCACATATGCGACCGCTCCTATTCATCTGGCTTCGCACTTGGACGTCATCTGAATCGCCAACACCGTCTGCAGGTTCCCATCGGTTTCAGTCGTTTCACCTACAAAAGGTGTGCCGACGGTCTGATGCGTCTGCAGACGAAGAAGCTGTTCAAGAGCGATGCCACCATGCCTCCTTCAACCTCATCTTAATCTTTTTTAAATTATTCCTTTTTTTTTTTGAAATTCCAAAATTAGCGGAGAAAAAAGGTTTTAAAAATGTCTGAAAATCCCTTTTTTCTCCATTAATTTTTGAACAAAAATGCCTTTTTTGTCCAAATTTGCTACCCAAAAATTCATGTAATCTATTCACATTTTTTATGTTTTCTTCACCATTCCTTCTAACCCTTTTCTCCAATTATCAGCAAATTTTCAACTTTCGCTGGCTCGAAAATTTGGAATTTGAGCATTTCTGAGCTCATTTTCAACCTAGAATTCTTCGAATTGCTCTCCAAAAGTGCACTTTTTCGATAATTTATATTCTTTTAACTCATTTTCAATCGAAAATCTTGAAATTTCTTTGAAAAAACCACCAAATGTCACCCAAAATCCTTCAAATTGCTCTCCAAATTCTCCTAATTTAGGCTTGAAAATGGGGAATTTGACGATTTTTGGTTGAAAATGGACCCCGAATTTCGATTTTTGGCTAATTTGCGCATTTCTAGGCTCATTTTCAACCCAAAATTGCTCCAAAAATGCACTTTTCCAGATTTCCAGCATATTTTGATTTTTTCGCTTTCTCGAAAATGGGAAATTCGAGCGTTTCTAGGCTCATTTTCTCAAAATTCCTCTTAAAAATTGAACATTTTCGACAATTTATGTTTTTTTGGTTAATTTTCAATCGAAAATCTTTGAATTTCATTGAAAAAACAACACCAAAGTTGACCCGAAATTGCACTTTTTTTTTTTTGATTTTCAGCAAATTTTCAACTTTTGCTGGCTCGAAAATCAAGGTTTTGAAGATTTTTGGGTTGAAAATTGAGCCAAAATTACTTTTTTTGAGCATTTCTAAGCTCATTTTTCAGCCCAAAACCCTTCAAATTTTGAATAATTTTCACTTTTTGGCTCATTTTCTATCAAAAATCTTTAGATTTGAAAAAAAACCACCAAAATTACCCCCCCCCCCCCGAATTTTCAAAAATTTCGCTGGAAAAATAGGAAATTTGAAGATTTTTGAGTTGAAAATTAAGCCAAAATTGCTGTTTTGTCTAATTTGAGCACATTTCTTTGCTCATTTTTTAGCCCAAAATCCTTTAAATTCGGCTTGAAAAGTGCACTTTTTAGATGATTTTTGAAGATTTTGGGTTGAAAACTAGGCTAATATTCTGTTGAAACTACCAAAATTAACCCGAAAACCCTTCAAATTCATCTCGATATTCTCCAAATTTTGGCTCGAAATTAAGGAGTTTGAAGTTTTTAGGTTCGAAATTAAGCCGGAATTGCGTTTTTGAGCATTTCTGGGCTCGTTTTCAGCTCAAAGTCGTTCAAATTCCTCTCCAAAAGTGCATTTTTCCAATTTTCAGCAATTTTCATAATTTTCGCTGGCTCGAAATGACGGATTTTGAAGATTTTTGGCTGATTTGAGCGGTTCTGTGCATTTTTGACCAAAAAATGTTCAAATTCCTCTTAAATGATCTCCGCTACTCTTTCAAATTGCTGCTTTTAATTGCTCTCTCTCTCTCTCTCTCTTTCCCCCCAATTATCTCAAAAAAAAAACAATACCCGCTTTCAAATGTACCAACGAAATGTGCAATCTTTTTTCCCAATTTGGCACTTTTTCTTCTGTAATTTGGATCTCCCTCTTAATTACCCCCTCTCAATTATCCCCTATCCCCTGATGAGCAACTCGTTCACTTTCTAGTATTATTCCACGTGGTTTTTAAGTCTCTCTCTCTCAATGCCTTACAGTACTCTCGTATTTTGAATCAAGTCGTGTATTTTGTTATCTTCCAATGTGTGCTACTCTATGATTACCCGTATAAAAATACATGGGTTTCCTATTTCGCAATAATAACTTAATTTATGGGGAAATTTTTTGATAATTTGTTGATAATTGATAATTGGTTGAAAATCCACCTGATTTTTGAATATTTCTATGAGCAAAAACGAAGAAAAATCACTGAAAATATTGGAAATTTTTGAAATTTCGAGAAAAAAAATCACATAAAAATGGTCTAGAAAAAACTGGAGAATTCGCTGAAAATCCCAATTTTAGACCCCGAAAAAATGGAAATTTCAGCAAAAAATCATAAACAAATTAGTCTGGAAAACTAGAAAATTTAGCAAGAATCCCAATTTTGACCTTGAAAAATATCAAATTTCGATAGGAAAATTGTCAAAAATTTTGTAATTTTTCAAAACAAAAAATGCAGAAAAAGTCTAAAAATCGCTGAAAATTTGGCAAAATTTCGGTGCAAAACATAAAAATCGCATAAAATCGATGAAATTCTCTGATTTTTATTGATTTTTCGATAATTTTCATGGTTTTTGTGCGATTTTTCAAATTTTTGTTTTAAAGGTGGTGAAAAATTTTATTGCTTTATTTTGTGCAGAATTTCATGTAGATCCCGATAAAAATAAAGAAAAAATTCCTTCATTGAGAAAAACGGCATCGAAAAGTCAAAGTTGTATCTGGTGGCCTAGCGGCTAGGTGTGAGTTTTCTAGGCCAACTGCCGGTAAAAGCCCGCGAAATTCGAATTTTTATTGATTTTCAGTGTTTCCTCTGATGTCTTTTAAAGATTTCAAATGGTTTTTGTTTATTTCCTCCCATGGGTATGAAAAAACCTGACAAAAATCAGAGAAAACACTGAAAATCAATAAAAATTCGAATTTCGCGCGCTTTTACCGGCAGTTGGCCTAGAAAACTCACACCTGGCCGCTAGGCCACCGGTTTCCACTTTGACTTTTCGATGCCGTTTTTCTAAATGAAGGAATTTTTTTTTGAATTTTTTCTTTATTTTTATCGGGATCTACATGAAATTCTGCACAAAATAAAGCAATAAAATTTTTCACCGCACACCACTTTTAAAACAAAAATTTGAAAAATCGCACAAAAACCATGAAAATTATCGAAAAATCAATAAAAATCAGAGAATTTCATCGATTTTATGCGACTTTTATGTTTTGCACCGAAATTTTGCCAAATTTCTTAGGATTTATTGAAAAATCGATATAAATAGGACAGAAAATAATTACGAAAACTCTTAAAGTTGAAGCTAGCGTCGCCAAAAACGCAAGTCAACTTTGAGCTTAATTATCTCGGCTCCTATAGAAAATATCAAAAAGTTGTCTACTGATAAAATGTTTATCATAATATCAGTAATATTTTATCAATTGACACATTTTTGATATCTCTTATAGGTACTGAAATAATTGAGCTCAAAGTAAAATGAGAGGCACTTAGTGCTACTCAACTTTTCAACGGCTCAAACTCTTATCACTGATAGTGAAATATATTGATTTTTATGTTTCATTTTGTAGAGCTTAAAAAGGGCTACAAAATGATATATAAAACACTAAAAATCTGAAATTCTAGAAAAATGCGTACAAACGATCAAAGTAGGAATTTGAGAAAGCTCATGCCAACTAGAGCACATCGGGTGTCTTAACATTGAGTTCATATATCTCGGTTACTGTAAAAGATATCAAAAATGTGTCAACTGATAAAATGTGTATCATAAGATGAGCAATCCTTTATCAGTTGGCACATTTTTGATATCTCTTATAGGAATCGAGATAATTGAGCTTAAAAATTGACAAGCAGATCGTCTCTCCCTAATTACCCTCTCTTTCTCTAATTAAATGACTAATTATCAGATGCTCTCCAAACAAATCCTCCGATCGTGGTGTCGTCGTTCCATGCACCGTACCGTCCGTCAGCCGGTCCTCTCTGCCAGCTTCTCCCTTGAAAAAGAGTGGGCGGGGCGCCACGTGGCACTCGGAAAGCTGGGATTGGGCGGAGACTACGAATGGATTTCGGCGGTTCAGAAGAAGTTCATCGGCGGTGGATACGCTTCGGCAGTCGACGTTGATGCGGCTGTCTGTGTGGCCGAGCAGAAGGATCAGGTTGGGGTTTTTTAGGTCATTTTCTAGATTTGAATAGTCTCGAAATTGGTTAAAACGGCTCTAAAACAGTAAAAATAGATTTTTAATTGCCAACATCAATTACTAGCTCCAAAATGAGGAATTTTAGTGAATTTGGGGGTTTTTTTTCCCAAAATTTGAAAATTGTCCAATCGCGATGAAAATCGATACCACGAGCTGAAATGGACTAAAATTGAGAATTCTGAAAATTTTTTTCGAAAAAAATCGATAATTGAAACATTTTTTTTCGAAATTTCAAAATTGTCCAATTGCGATAAAAATTGATATCACGAGCTGAAATTGGTTCAAAAGAAGAATGCTGGAAAAAAACTAAGAAAAAATCGAAAATTGAAACACAATTTTTTTCGAAATTTCACAAATTTTCAGAAATTTCGAAGTTGTCCAATCGCGATAAAAATTGATGTCACGAGCTGAAATGAGCGGAAAATAGAAATACTGAAAAAAATTTTCGAAAAAATCGAAATTTGAACAAAAAAATTTATTGAAAAATTCCCAAAAAAAATTTTTTTCCAAATATCGATTTTTTCTAAGTTTTTTTTTCAGTATTCCCATTTTCAGCCAAATTCAGCTCGTGATATCAATTTTTATCGCAATTGGACAATTTTGAATTTTTGGAAAAATTTGAATTCCAGGTTGATGACGTCATCGAGTTGTTGTACAAATTGAGGCACAGTGTGAAGGCTGCTGAGAAGTTGGAGTCTAGCGAGTACGCTCTGGTTCGGCTGTTGCTTAAATATCAACCGGAGACTATTCTGACACTGGCTAATGATCCGGTAGGTGCAGTTCTAGAACGGCAGAGTTCTAAAACGTCCCAGTTCTAGAATGTCATGAATTTCAGATCAACTACGGTGTCTTTTTGAATCCCCATCTCGCCTGTATCGTCATCGATCACTTTATCAGAACATCGAACATCCAAGCGGCCGCCCGAATCGTCACGTGGATGGTCCAGCAGGAGGAGCTGGATAATGAGCTTTTAAACGTCCTTGGAATGTATGTATGTGCAAAGTGGGCGGAGCTTCCAGCCGATCAGCAGACACTCGATTTAGGAGCAGTTGAGGAGGAAGAAGACGTCAATGATGACGATATTGTGGGTTTTTTGGGAATTTTATCTAAAAATTCAAAATCGTCCAATTGCGATAAAAATCGATACCACGAGCTGAAATGGGCTGAAAATGAGAATACTGAGAACAATTTTCGAAAAAATCAAAATTGGAAAAAAATTTTTTTTGGAATTTTTCAAAAAAAAATTTTTTTCAAATTTCGACTTTTTTCGAAATTTTTCAAAAGTGTTCTCATTTTCAGCCCATTTTAGCTCGTGGTATCGATTTTTATCGCAATTGGACGATTTTGAATTTTTGGAGAAAACCTTCTTAAAATCCTCTTTCAGAGAACGTTCAAATTCCCATATCTCAAAAACGACAGCTTCGACGAGCATTTCGACCTAACGAATGCACATCATCTCGTTGGAAAGTCGATGATGTGGCTTTCTCGGGATACGAAGTCGATTTCGGATTCTCTAAAGTCGAGCATCCAGGTTCTAGGCGCAGTGCTCTTCGAGAAACTTCCAGAAGCCAATTTGGGAATTGCCACGTCATCTGGGAGTGTGAAGAGAATGGTTGCGGAGAGATTGGCGGCGAAGGAAGGAGAAGAGCAGTCGGAAGACGTCAAGAAGATTCTGGAGACGATTGGAGAGGTGAAGGCAGAGGAGACATTGCTCAGTGAGCAGATTTTGGAGCATTTGAAGGTAGGGAATTTAGATTTTTTCGAATTTGGCGCCAAATAAGCTATAATTAGAATGAAAAAATAGATAGAGAGTCGCTGAAAATCGCTTCAAAAATCTCAGTTTGTAGTTTGTAGTCTTCGTAGTCTTTGTAGTATGTAACAGCAAAATCTTCAAAAGAGTTCATCCGCCATTCACCCGCCGGACACCCATTGCTCATTTTTTGGTCTAGTTTGTAGTCTTTGTATCTCAAAATTCCAAAAATGATTTTTTTTCAATTTTTCGGAAACTTCTCGAATTTTTGAATTTTCTGTAAATTATAGAAAAAAAAACAATCAATTCTAATCTAATTTTATGGAAAAACGACGAAAATTAAGTGATTTTGACTTTTTCACTGAGGCTAAGAGACTACAAACTACAACTATCCTAAGCCTCAGTAAAAAAACCCCCCGAAATTTTGAATTTTTGTATTCTAGAATTTCGAATTCCCATAAAACTCGTCGATATTTCCAGGAAATCCAGCCAACCGAAGAGCAGAAGGTGTGCTCCTCACAGACCGCGCAATTTGCCACGTGGAATGAGCGTCGTCAGGAACTGGCAAAGTCGCAAGCTCAAAAAGTATTGATTCGCATTCGACAGGACGAGATTCGAGGCGAGCTGAAGGCGTTGGATGAGCAGGAGGAGCAGATGTCGTTCTTCAAAAATCGACTGCAGTGGGAGAAGCGGGCGGCCGAGAACACGCAAATCGACGAGGAATCCAAACAGAGGCACAGGAAGAGAGAAGCTGCTAATTAGAGGCTAATTAGGATGTCATTCAATTAATTATATTTTGTTTTTTGGATAATTATCTAGTTTTTTAGTGTCTAGTTTCTCTGAAAATTGTTTTTTTTTCCTTGTTTTTTTTCTTCCTAAAATTGTTATAAATCGTTTAAAAATTTATTTTTTTTGCTGAAATTTTGCGATTTTTTGTTTTTTTTTCTGGTAAAAAAGTGGTTATTTCTCCACTAAAACAGATTTTTCTTTTTTAATTTTAATTATTCTCCACTAATTGCCCGTTATTGCCCTAATTAAATTAATTTTCTGTTTAAAAAAAAAAGGTAGTTAAGCCAGATTTTCTCATTTTCATGATAATTATTCTTCTCCACTAATTGCACCTAATTGCCCTTATTAAGCAATTTTTCAGTTTGGAAAATGGGTTTTGAGCCAAATCGGCTTATTTTTATGATAATTATTCTCCGCTAAATGCCCCTAATTAAGCACTTTTTCATTTTTAAAAAATGGTTTTTGAGCCAGATTTTCTCTTGTTTTTATGATAATTATTCTCCAGTAATTGGCCCTAATTGCCCTAATTAAGATTATGCCCAACACCACCGCCGCTGCAACCACTACTACTACTACACCAAATCGAACACGAGAAGTTGAGAGTCGGGCGAGAATTAGTGGGTTTTTAGGCAAAAATCCGAAAAAATGATCTTAATTTTAAAAAAAAAGTTTTGAAAAATTCGAATTCTTGAATTAAAAAAAACGTTCACGAAGTCGATTTTTTGGCTGAAAAAATGAGCTGAATTTATAATTTTTTTTGCAGAAATTCAAAGTTGTCCAATTGCGATGAAAATTGATACCACGAGCTGAAATGGCCTAAAAAAAAGAATACTGAAAAAAACTTTCGGAAAATTCAAAAATTGAAAAAAAAATTTTTTTCAATTTTCGACTTTTTCGAAAATTTTCAGAAGTATTCTCATTTTCAGCCCATTGTAGTATCAATTTTTATCGCAATTGGACAACTTTCAATTTTTGGAAAAAATGTTTTTTTTTTGAAATTTCGAAAAAAAAATTATCCAAATTTTTGAAAACAAGCTTTCAGGAAATCTTGAGAAGTCGATTTTTAAACGAAAAATTCTGAAAATCCCAAATTTCAGTTTCCGAACGGATCAGCGAGAGTGTCAGATTGCTGGATAACGAGCCATCATTGGCGCTGTACAGACTACAAGGTCAGAGGGGACATCGGGACATCTGGAAACACAGATTTCCAAATTTTCCAGAACACACAACTCGAAGCCTTCCGGGAATTGTGAATCGACGGATTCTGCTCACCCAACAATCGGCGACACTCTCCGGCGCTCAATTTGACTTGGAGAACACTTTAAGGTAGTAAGACTACAAAGACTACAAATGCTACAAAAACTACAAATGCTCTTTTCCAGCACCACAACTAACATGCAAAACGCCACGTCATCGTTCGACAACTGTATAGAAATGCTGAGGAATTGCATGTTCTACAAGCAACAGCTGGATTTCGACTCGTCACGAAAGACGGAGACAACGATGAGCAATGTGAAGGGGCGGAGCAAGTCGCTGCACAACGTGGCGACACGTGTACACTCGAATGAGGCACCGACGACGACGTCTTCTGATAAGGATTGATATGAAATTTCTATTTTTTGTACAAATTTTTAACGATTTTACGGCTTTTTTTTTGAATTATGATCTCAAAACAATGAATTTGAATGTTTTTTACTAATTTTCACCTGAAAAAACGGCAAATTTCACCAGCACCTAGTGCTACTCAACTTTTCAACGACCCAAACTCTTATCACTGATAGTGAAATATATTGATTTTTATGTTTCATTTTGTAGAGCTTAAAAAGGGCTACAAAATGATATATAAAACACTAAAAATCTGAAATTCTAGAAAAATGCGTACAAACGATCAAAGTAGGAATTTGAGAAAGCTCATGCCAACTAGAGCACATCGGGTGTCTTAACATTGAGTTCATATATCTCGGTTACTGTAAGAGATATCAAAAATGTGTCAACTGATAAAATGTTCCTAATATTGTGATAAACATTTTATCAGTTGACTACTTTTTGATATCTCTCACAGGAATCGAGATAAATTGGCTCGAAGTTGAAAGTATGAAAAATATTTATATGCTATGACGTCACCCCGGAAAACATTCAAGAAATTATTAAAATTCTTATCAACAAACTATCACCCGGTTAGAGTTTTTTAACGATCACTTTCTCTACATGTCTGCGTCTCTCTTCTTTTTCTTATCTCTAATTTTGATTCTCCTATATTTCATCGTTTGCTCCAGAATTCTGAAATTATGAACAATTCTTGTCTTATCCTATTTTTGGCACTTTTTATTCCAATATTTGTATGTAGTGAAGATTCTGAGGATGGAATTTTCCTGGCTAGAATCACTAGCGTTGATGAGCACGACGCCAGAAAAATCGGAAGACGTCATGGATTCGAGGCAGTGAGAAAAGTGAGGTTTTTTGGTTTGATTTTTTAAAATGCGCATATCTCAAAAACTACTGTAGATAGAAAAAAGTTAGCAACTGCAAAAAAGTTGGAAATTCAATTTTCTACATTTTCATAGTTTACAGCTTTTTGATTGCTACAATAGTTTTCGAGTTATGCGCCTTTAAAGTTAGCGTACCGTCTCACCCCCATGGGGATAGCTACTTTGAAGGCGCATAACTCAAAAACTACTGTAGTTATAAAAATATTGTAAATCACAAAAATGTTTGAAATTAAATTTCCTATATTTTTGCAATTTACAGTTTTTTGATAGAGAGAGAGAGAGAGACAGCGCACCAGAGATGAGCGGAAGAGATTTACGGAAATTTACGGAAGACGGTTTATTTTCAAAATGAAAAATGCTACCAAAAAGTTGTGAACGGACAAAATGTTGATCTCAATGAGAGTTATTTATTGGTATAAAAGTTATCTCATAATAGTGATGGAGAGTTGAGATATGGCGTTTCTTCCGTGTTCCGTCTTCCGTCTGGCACACGGAAGACGGAAGAAAGACTCTATTTGAATAATCCAACAAAATTTCGAAACAATTTCTATACCAATCGATAGCTCTTATTGAAATC